GGTTCAAGAATTTGGAAAATGAGCACAGCTGTTTATAATAGGTAACTCTTTTTTTTTTTTTTGAATCTTTTTTTGGTTAGGGTACCATGACTGAAGATTAATGGCTTCCATTATTTTTTTGCTTTCATGCAGGAAATCTTTAAACTTGCCTGAACTTTGTACCAACTACCACATGAATCATGCCTACTACAATTACCCCCTTCTGTGTCATGTCCTAGGTTAGAGTCCTTGCGTGATACACTGAATGCAGGGCAGGGTTGAAAGTGCCAAGTGATAACTGGGCAGAAGACTGACAAGTAACAGTGACTGATATACCTCCTTGAGCTGATATCTCATAGGCCTTAAGACAAAATCGTACTTACAGATATTACCTGAAATGAGATATATTTCACCATATCTGGCTGTTCAGTAATTCATCTTCATTTTGGATATTATGTATATTTATTAAAATGAGCTTAAACATAATAATTAATAATAATGATGATGATGATGATGACAGTTTTCTCTTAATGAATACTCACCATGTAATAGGCTCAGTTCTACGCATGCATTGCCCACTTAGTTTTCCCATCAGCCCAGGAGGTAGTTACTGTGTGTGGCACTGTTTTACATATGAGGAAACAGGCATAGAGCGCTTAAGTATCTTGCTCAAAGTCCACAGCTAAGGATCAGAGGTGGGATTCGAACCCAGACAGTCTGGTTTAGAGTTTATGCTCTCAACTCCATGTGATAATGCTTACACACTGTTTAGAGGTGGCTTTAACCTCAAATATTAGAATTTTTTTATTACTGAATATAAATAATTGCCAGTTTTGGCATATGTTATGTATATGTTGTATGGGTTTTGAGAACATTTGTAAAAGAGTAAGGTCATAGAAAAATGGATCCTTCTGTTCAGGTCTCATTAACTAGAAGAATTTTAACTGAATAAAATAAGTGCAGAATGATGCCGGTTTATGTTAATTTTAAGTATCATATATGTTTTAGAATCTTGTCAAATGCATTATTGGTATTTTTAAAAGGAATTCATGTTCTTAGGAGAGACCGAATTAAAAAACAACAAAACACAACCCCCCCCCCCCCCGCCTCCCTTCATATATCGAAAGCAAATCTGAATTTGAGGTCTATGTGCCTAGATAAAGTGCTTTATCTCAACCAAGAACATAAGCGTAACGTAACCCCTACAGTGACCACAGACTCACTATGCCTTTTAACTTGGATGAAAAAAAAAATATTTTGGCTTTGTTAAAGTG